CTACTAGGTACGACATATATATATATATATATATATATATATATATATGTCGTACCTAGTAGCCAGAACGCACTTCTCAGCCTACTATTCAAAGCCCGATTTGCCTAATAAGCCAAGTTTTCATGAATTAACTGTTTTTCGACTACCTAACCTACCTAATCTAACCTAATATAACTTTTTCGGCTACCTAACCTAACCTAACCTATAAAGGTAGGATAGGTTAGGTTAGGTAGGGTTGGTTAGGTTCGGTCATATATCTACGTTAATTTTATCTCCAATAAAAAAAATTGACCTCATACATAATGAAATGGGTAGCTTTATCATTTCATAAGAAAAAAATTATAGAAAATATAATAATTCAGGAAAACTTGGGTTATTAGGCAAATCGGGCCTTGCATAGTAGGCTGAGAATTGTGTTCTGGCTACTAGGTACGACATATATATATATATATATATATATATATATATATATATATATATATATATATGTCGTACCTAGTAGCCAGAACTCACTTATCAGCCTACTATGCAAGGCCCGATTTGCCTAATAAGCCAAGTTTTCATGAATTAATGTTTGTTCGTCTACCTAACCTACCTAACCTACCCTAACCTCGCTTTTTTTGGCTACCTAACCTAACCTTACCTATATATATAGGTTAGGTTAGGTTAGGTAGGGTTGGTTAGGTTCGGTCATATATCTACGTTAATTTTAACTCCAATAAAAAAAAATTGACCTCATACATAGTGAAAAGGGTAGCTTTATCATTTCATAAGAAAAAAATTATAGTAAATAAATTAATTCAGGAAAACCTGGCTTATTAGGCAAATCGGGCCTTGAATAGTAGGCTGATAAGTGAGTTCTGGCTACTAGGTACGACATATATATATATATATATATATATATATATATATATATATATATATATATATATATATATATATATATATATATATATATATATATATATTTATATATATTAGTATATTTTGTTAGCAGTCTTTCCTGTAGACATATATTATTAAATATGACCGAAAAAGAAAGATTAATAATTCTAACACGAATTTTCTCTACCTTTCTTACATTTCTTTTCACTGTTGATGGTAATTCAAGGATCAATTCTCCAAAATTGTATATGTATATATATATATATATATATATATATATATATATATATATATATATATATATATCCCCCTCTCTTCCTTACATGTATGGTCTTATAAAAACTCATAAGCCATGTAATCCGGGAAGGCCGATTATTAGTTCAGTTGGTTCGGCGGCTTATAAACTCTCTAAGTGGTCAAAGTTTTGTCTCCTATAGTTGTCAACTCTTAGTCAAAGTTTTGTCCCCTATAGTTGGTACTATTTCCAACTCACACTTGACAAACAATGTGGACTTAGTTAATAAGCTATCCACACTGAATTTAAATTTTGATTTTAAACTAATAAGTTTCGATGTGACCTCTTTATTCACTAAAGTTCCTGTTGATGATCTGTTAGAATTTCTACGTGAGGAACTGCTTAATTATAATATGAGCTTGCAGACCAATAAAGTATTGGAACTTATCAAATTGTGTATAAAAGATAATTATTTTAGTTTTAATGGAAAATTTTTCAAACAAACATTTGGTATGGCGATGGGCAATCCCTTTTCCCCAGTTTTAAGCAATTTGTAAATGGAATTTTTCGAAACAAAAATCTTATCCAGGGTTATCCCGGCTAATGTAGTTTGGTTTAGGTATGTTGATGATATTTTGTGCTTATGGCCGTGCGACAAAGACCAGATAGTTTTTCTTAATGAACTCAATTCTTTGGTACCTTCAATACAATTCACTTGTGAGACTGAGGAGAATGGTACTCTTCCGTTTTTGGACATTATGATTCATAGAGTCACTAGAAAGTTCAAATTTAATGTGTATAGGAAACCTACCAACGTGGGGTCGTATGTTCATTTTTATTCGAATCATCATAGTAAAGTTAAACAGGCAGTATTTTCAGGAATGTTTCTACGAGCTTTGAGGGTATGCAGCCCTGAGTTTTTTGATGAAGAGATTGCTAAAATATATGAAATTGGGAAGAGTTTACAATATCCTAAGAGGTTTTTGGATTTCTCGTTTGAACAAGCCAAGCGTACGTTTTATAATCACGTCCCTATTGTGAAACCAGAAATTATTAACTCATTGGTGGTACCTTATGCGAGTGGACTTGAAAAATTGTCTCTGATTTTTAAGAAACTTAATATAAATTTGGTGTTCACTAATAGTACGATCAAATCCAATTTAATAAAAAAACTCCCCTGATACAGCAGGTTGTGTGTATTCGATTCCCTGCAATGATTGTGATTCTGTGTACCTTGGACAAACAGGAAAGTCCTTACAATTGCGGTTTTCATAACATGCTTATAGTATTAGAACTGCCCAAACGTCTAATACATTATATCTACATACGAGTTTATGCGATCACAATATTAACTGAAATGGGGCAAAAAGCATTACCAATTGTGGGGATTTCGTGGAACGGAATTTAATTGAGTCTGCTCTAATCAGTCAGTGTCCAAATCTTCTTAATGTTAGTACTGGAATGTACAAACTTGATCCATTTTTAAGTTATAATATTGCACAACAGTTTAAGAAAAAACTCTGATAGAGAGGCTTACAATGTCTCATTATAATTTTATATTCATATATTGTGTGTTCATGAGGCTTTTCTTTAATCTTTCATCCTTATTCTCTGACCGCTTTATCCTCTTTGACCATTCTAAGCTAAGCTATACCTGTTTCTGGTTAATTCTTTCCCTAGGGATGGGTTGGTCAGGTGTCGGCCTATATATCCTTCCCCTTCTCTTTTCTCCTTTAGTCAGTCTGGTGTTGACAAAGGCTTTAACAAGCCGAAACGTTCACCTCATTTCATATTTCTCTGTGGATTTTCCGCAAATATATATATATATATATATATATATATATATATATATATATATATATATATATATATATATATATATATATATATATATATATATATATACATATATAACTTTAGAACACTTTCCCACCAGGAGATTCGAACCCTAGCCAGCACAGAAGCCTTCCAGCAACTGGCATAACAGGTACGCCTTAACCCACTCCACCACCTGCTCAGACAGCACTAGAGCAAGTGAGGGGTCATTTTTACGTTTTTTCATCCAGTCCCTGTTAATATGGGAGAACACTGTGTCTATGCTTTGTAAACATAGACACAGTGTTCTCCCATATTAACAGGGACTGGATGAAAAAACGTAAAAATGACCCCTCACTTGCTCTAGTGCTGTCTGAGCAGGTGGTGGAGTGGGTTAAGGCGTACCTGTTATGCCAGTTGCTGGAAGGCTTCTGTGCTGGCTAGGGTTCGAGTCTTCTGGTGGGAAAGTGTTCTAAAGTTGTATACTTCACTCTCGTGTTTAGGAGAGTTGTGCCTTATATATATATATATATATATATATATATATATATATATATATATATATATATATATATATATGTATATATATATTGATTAATAAATATGACTGAAAAAGTAAGAATAATAATGCTAACACGAATTTTCTCAATATTTCTTATGTTTTCTTTTCACTGTCGATGGTAATTGAAAAATCAGTTCTCCAAAATTCCTTTTTATTTTTAGTCTGACGCGACACTTGAACGCGTTTCATAATAACTTATTGCATTTTCAAAGACTTTAGTTTACACACACACATCTATAACCTGCAAACACTAAACAGATTTCTTACTATGCTATAATTCAAACGGCTTTTCATTTTATATATACCTGCATTTGGGTGAGGTGATATGTTACAACAGTTTTGGATGAGGTGAAAACAAACTTTCAACACAAGACAGAACACGAAACAATGGGTATAATATTGGATAATTTAAAAGGAAGAATGGAAGTAACTACAAAGGGCTTATTGGCCCATATTTCTTGATGCGGAGCGGAGCGAATGCGGAGATATTGGAGCGGAGTCTTGAAGTGGGTAGAATATAGTTGTGCATTAATTGGCTGTTGATTGCTGGTGTTGACTTCTTGATGTGTAGTGCCTCGCAGATATCAAGCCACCTGCTATTGCTGTATCTATCGATGATTTCTGTGTTTTTTGTTAAGACTTCTCTGGTGATGGTCTGGTTGTGGGAAGAGATTATATGTTCCTTAAAGGAGCCCTGTTGCTTATGCATCGTTAATCGCCTGGTAAGAGATGTTGTTGTCTTGCCTTGTGGGTGTGTGTAAAGTAAATTCTTTGAAAATGTAATAAGTTTTACGAAACGTGCTCAAGTGTCGCGTCAGACTAGAAATAAAAATGAATATATATATATATATATATATATATATATATATATATATATATATATATATATATATATATATATATTTACCAAAAGAATAAGGGTGGTAGGAGAAGAAAATATCAAAGTGTTCAGTGAGGATCCACAAGGTCTTCTCTGAGTACTCTTTATTTTCTTCTCCGAGGCTATATAGGCTATGGATCCCTACACTTGCACCAGAGGTGGTACCCCTTCTAGGATATATATATATATATATATATATATATATATATATATATATATATATATATATATATGTGTGTGTGTGTGTGTGTGTGTGAGTGTGTGTGTGTGAGTGTGTGTGTGTGTGTGTGTGTGTGTGTGTGTGTGTGTGTGTGTGTGTGTGTGTGTGTGTGTGTGAATGCTTTTATATTTTTATGCTTATATATATGTATGCCTTTCCTCAGTTGGTTGGGGGAGCGAAGCGGCTGAAGTTATTAAAGGAATTTTAGGTACAAGATCAGACCCTCGCTGCTCCGTCTTCTTTCTTGTAAATGGCGAACCTGCCTCCACTTCTCTCTTCACGGTAGGAACATCATACTTACTTAAATAATTTAATTTGGCTATAAAACGTAATTTTTCCAATGTTATTGGTGAGTACATGCATTGTTGCTAAGCTCACTAGGCACGTTTATGTATTTCCGTAGTGGTTCATTTCTGACCGGCCTCCGTGGGGTGTGACAGTGTTTGAGGCGACAACGGGCGGCCAGGACGCTAACATGACGCTGACGAAGCTCTCCTGGGTGGTTGCTCACGCTAGACGGGTACGTCTCACTTACCTATCACTACTTTTCTATTGCTACCTACATATCAGTGGCTTCCAGTAACTATCTATCAGCAACTATTCTCCCACAACCAGCCGGAATGATTGTTAAAAATATTGTATCTGTTAACATGTATTAACTTGCACAATGAGGTTGACCTGTTTGAATGTCAGTTTATATGTACTATTTTTATCCAACAAACTGTTTCAGGGTTGAACCCTGACGTTATTTCAGTTGACTATTCCCTACAGGTCATGTACGAAAATATGAGCATAAAACATAAGAAAATATAAAAACTGCAGAAGACCTCATAAGGCTCATAAGTGGCAGCTCCTGTTTATGTGCACTTAATCTCACTTATATATAAATTATGTCTAACCTACAGTTAAATAATGAAGTGATCCGATGCTTATTATGTTATCCGGTAATATGTTTCATAGATCAACCACCATTTCCAAACCAGTATTTACCCAGGTCTTACCTGAATCTAATCTCATTTAATTTATATTCATTGCTTCGTGTCTAATTTATTTTGATGAATATAAAACCTTATTAATATCTATTTTGTTATAACCTTTAAGTTATGTGTATGAAATCGAATCGAATCCAAGACCATAGGGCAGGTAAGCAGGGGATGGAAGACTGGGTGAAGATGCGGAAAACTTGAGCAGGGACCAGGATACAAGTCGGAGGAGGGAGATACAGCTATGTGGTTCAACCACCGTGGGTTTGACTTGCCAGTGATACTTGTATGGCGTTCTCGTTGTCCATTTCAATACATGGGCGACGCACAGGGACTCGGTTCTAGGGTTGCTGGCAGTTGTTGGTATTACTTCATTCTTTGGTCTTCATTCGCCAGTCTTCTGAATTTAGAGCTCTTCTTATTTCTTTTGTCTGGCATTTTCCATCAAGGTTAGAGCGTTGGTCTTCTTGGGCTTCATGGTAGTCTTACTTATTGTTGACATAGCCGTGCTGTCGTTGGAGTTTGGTGAGGAGGCCTCCATGAGGCAATCTTAGACAGAGTAGGTGTTGAAATGATAGTGTAGCGATGAGGCTCCTACTGTGATTTCCTCGTCTGAAGCCGGTGGTTTTGTCTTCTACTGCATGGCCTTGGATGGGCTCTGGTGTCGTGAGGTATCGGTTATAGCTACTGCGGGAGCGTTGGCGGGGCTACTGGTAGTGTACATGCTACGTCGGCGAGCGCGTTGGCCGAAATGATGATGGTAGCAGCGTTGGGGGCTGGAGAGGAAGATATTTCTGTCTGTGCAGTCTGGGTCTTGGGTGGTTCTGGAGTCTGGGTGGAGATCGTCCTCGTAGGTGTCCGTATTGTAGTCCCTGTGGCTTTAGGGAAGGCGGTGAGACTGGCTTCGGAGGCGATGATGGGGTTCAGGCCATTGATAAGCTACAGTGTGTTGGGTTCAGCGACGAATCGGCGATTATCTGATCCGGAGAGCTTCTCTGCTAGTCGAATAAGACCAGGAATGATGCCTTCGCGTTAGGCGAGGGGCTGTGAGGGTGTTGGTTGGTTCTTGATTCAGCAGTGGGGAGGCCGGGTCGCCTGGTGGGTGGAGGCCCTATTTCGTAGAGTTGGGAAGGTTTCTGGCTGGTTGGTGGGATCTGAGGTGTGGAGACGCCGGCGGAGGTAGTAGAAGGCTTGACTTCTTTGGATTCAGCCTGTTTCAAAATGATTTCGTCTGCGAGGGCAGTAGTGGAAAATCGCAAGAGTGACCGCCTTCGCAGAGCAGACAGCATCGAGTTTCTGACTTGTAGATTGAGTAGGGGTGGTCCTTGGCGCAAAGGCTGCACTTCTGGACAGGATGCTGACACTTGTTGGTGGGGTGGGAGAACTCATAGCACTTGAAGCACTGTTGTACCTCATAGATGCGTTCCTTCTTCACACGGTAGGCTGGTATCTTGATGCCAAAGCAGTTGATTCCTTGTGTGGTCACTTGATTAGCTGCATATACTGGGGTGAAAGTTAATTACACAGTTGGATGCTTGTCGTCGACCTCGCCGAGGAGCGTCCCAGAAGTAAGTAAGTAATTATCAAAAGAAGGCACCAAACCGGGAAGGCTATATAGCACCATGAAATGTGCGGAATAATCAGAGGGCGCTAAATATCACCAAGGATGCCAATACGAGAACAAAAACGCATAAGGCAAACGATATCAAAAGGTTTCCGAGTCACCAAGAATTCTATTGAGGGACAGGTGACCACGAGGGGCGGTCGAAAAGCAAGACACACGCTCGTCCTGGAAATCCGGACATTCAAGAAGGACATGCACGACCGTAAGATGGACAATGCAATTAGGACAATAAGGAGCAGGACGGCGCTCCATCAAGTGACCATGGGTTAAGCGAGTATGGCCAATACGCAACCTCGCCAGAGCTGTTTCCCATCGTCGGTTACGGTGGTAGGAGGACGGACATGAGGAAACACAACATTTAAGAGTACGTAGTTTGTTACCAGTAACAGACGATCAAGAAGCCTGCCAACGGGTAAGGATGGAGGAATGGATAACTGGGTAAAAGTCGGAATATGGAATATCTTTACGAGAGATGGAACAAGAGCGGACTGCTTCCTTGGCAGCAGCATCCACACGCTCATTTAAAGACACACCAATATGGCTGGGAACCCAACAAAACTCAACCGACTTAAAGTTACTGTGAACAAGAACCAGCCAATGCTGGATCTCGACAACTACTGGATGAACCGGATTAAAGGACCCGAGAGCCATGAGGGCAGTACGCGAGTCAACAACAACTACAAAGGAAGACTGACAATGAGAAAGCAGGAGACGAAGAGCATAGAGAATAGCATAAAGCTCTGCTGTAAAGATGCTAGTCTCCGGAGGTAAGCGACACATATAAGTGCGATCAGGAAAAACAACAGAGTAGCCAACACTGTCTGCAGACTTAGACCCATCGGTGAAGACAGAAACGGAGGAGGAGTGAGAAGAAAAGTGCTCAAGGAAAAGGTGTTTTAGAACCGTAGGAGGGGTAAAAGCTTTAGTGATGCGGGTCAAGGATGTACAAAACTGCGGAAGGGGGACTCTCCACGGGGGCAAAGAAGGAACAATACGGGGAGAAACATTAGAAACACGAACGGAAAGAGAATCCTGTAAGCGAGATAACCGGACAGAAAGAGGGAGGTGGTGAAGAGGAACAGGAAACGCAGGAGGGGTAAAAATTAAAGAACGACAGAGGCGAGAGGAAAGATGTTGTAAGGACCGCGCAAGATAGCGAAGACAGTAGCGATCACGGCGGTGCTGGAGAGACAGGAAGCCAGTGTCAACATACCAGCTAAGGATGGGAGTCGAACGAAAGGCACCAGAACTGAGGCGCAACCCAGTATGGTGCAAAGCATCAAGACGGCGAAGAGTAGAAGGAGAAGCAGATGAGTAAGCAGGGCAACCATAATCGAGCTTAGATAGGACGAGAGAGGAATGTAAAGCAAGCAGAGTGCGCCAATCCGCTCCCCAATAAGTATGGGACAATACCCGAAGGAGAGCAAGGGCCTTAGAGCACTCAACACGGAGGTAAGAGATATGGGGAGACCAAGACAAACGAGTGTCAAGGAATAACCCCAAAAGCTTCGCTGAATCTTTGTACTCAAGGGGATGACCGTAAAGTGACAAAGAGGGACGAAGAACGACCCGTTTCCACGTAAAAGCCATGGCACAAGTCTTAGAAGTAGAGAACTTGAAGCCATGATCGGTGGCCCAAGACAACACGGCATCAATTGCAAGTTGAAGCCGGCGCTGAAGGAGAGGCGAATCATCACCCTGACAGCAAAGGGGTGATGATCATCGACATAGAGAGCGGAGAAGACACCTGAAGGAAGAGAGGAAAGAAGACCATTGAGGGACCCAGAAAAAGAGTAGTGCTCAGAACACTACCCTGGGGCACACCTTCGTACTGCTGAAAAGAGGCAGAGAGAGTAGTACCAAGGCGCACCCGAAAGGAACGACGAGAGAGGAAGCTGCGGAGAAAGAGAGGGAGATGACCACGAAGGCCAAAAGAAGGAAGCTGGGACAGAATATGATATCGCCAAGTGGTGTCGTAAGCCTTTTCCAGGTCAAAAAGGACGGCAACAACGGAGGTCCTCGCAGCAAAAGCAGTACGAATATAGACCTCCAAGTTCACCAGGACATCTGTCGTGCTGCGGCACTTGCGGAAACCAAATTGAGAAGGGGAGAGGTGGTGATGGTGTTCCAGAAACCACATCAGACGAACGTTAACCATACGTTCAAAGAGTTTGCAGACACAACTTGTGAGGGCAATAGAGCGAAAGTCCTTCCTTCCAGAAAGTTCCCAGCGACTCTGGTTTGCAAACAGGGAGGACAACGGCATCGAGCCAGTCCTCAGGGACTGACGACGACTCCCAGATCCGATTATACAGACTTAGTAAATACTGAGACGTGCACGGAGGGAGATGGCGAAGCATCTCATAATGAATACCATCGGAGCCCGCCGCCGAAGAACCGCAGAGGGCCAGGGCAGAACGAAGTTCAGAGAGAGAGAAGGGCTCGTTATAGGAAAGTCGAAGACGAGTGCAGAAATCTAAAGGACGAGACTCAAGGACAGGTTTACGAAGAAGAAAAGATTGGGGAAGATGAAGACCAGAGCTAACAGAAGAAAAGTGGGAACCCAGTTCGGTGGCAACCTGCAACGGGTCCGCCACAAGAGTACCACGGAGGTGAAGGACCGGTGACACATCGGGAACGAACTTACCCGCTATCTTGCGGATACGCTTCCAGATCTGTGGCAGGGGAGTTTCGGACGTAATTGAGGAGACATAAGATGCCCAACATTCACGTTTAGCTGTACGAATGGCCCTACGGGCCACCGCACTCGCTTTCCGAAAGAAAAGAAAAGAATCGGCCGTCTGCCGACGGCGGTGCCTCTTCCAGGCTGCACGCTTACAGCGGACAGCCCGAGTACAGTCTGCATTCCACCAGGGAACGCACTTCCGTGGACCCCGAGAGGAAGAGCGAGGA